GGCCTGAAACGTCAGCCTTCCTGCTCTTCTGATGCTGCTTGGCCTGCTGTGTTCATCCAGCTATACACCTTGTTATCTCAGATTCTCCAGCATCTGCAGTTCCTACTATCTCTGAATATATTTAGATGCAGGTGAGAAACATGCAGAAGTGAGCGATTTTGCTGCTGGGATATAAGCAGGGGCTTCAGTAAAGTTATTTTCGGTGCAGACTCAATGGGCTGAAGGAACTATATCACACTGTATGACTCTATGATTCTACCATAAAAAGGAGACATTTGGTTCTTTTTTAGCCATGTTAATTGGGTATTCTCAGAACTGTTTCTAAACTTTGTTCCAAATTTTACACACAAGGAGAATGATAGGGTGCCCAGAAAATCAAGAAAATTGATGAGAGAAACAAGAAGAAAGTTTAGGTAGTTTATTAGAAGGATCACTGGAGGAACTCTAGCGGCTTGAAGCCGCTACCATCATGGTTCTCCATGGCAAACACCTTGCAGATAGTGATGAAACTTTTTCAATTGAGGATTTCAAAGGACAAGTTCGGGTAAGAAATGCCTCGGATAAAGCCAACATACAGATGGGAAAGACTATCATCATCCAGGTCAGTGACAACAAGAAGCCAGGTTGGAATCAGCCTCATGCAAGACTGGTGCAAAAGGACAAAAAGGAACTCATCAATTGTCTTCAGACGAATAGAAACATGGAAGAATATGGAGGACTGGATGAAGGTGGGGCACCCACTAGTACCAGTGTCACCCAGAAATCACAGACTTATTGCCAGTGCCAAACCCTGTGTTCTTCTATTTCCATTGTAGCAAACAGTTCCTTAACCGCTTACCCACCCATTGCACATCCAGACCTCAGCAAGTCTTCACAAAACAAAGCCTATGGGTTTTAAGGCTCTGTAATCCTCAGCCAATTGACATCATTGTTGATCCAATGTGTGGAACTGGAACTATTGTGGTAAGGTATTGAGGGGAACAGATCTCCTGAAAAGCAACGTGGTCCCACCAATCCATACATTGTATACCCTGCACTAAATCACACTTGTATATTACAAATTTTAAGTCTTAACTTTAAATTTTCACAGGAATTTTCTCTGATTCAGTTGCATCAGTTATTCTTGGAAGCTGATCCCATAACACTTACATTTGAGATTTGATAAGGTGAATGGCAGGTGTCTTTTCCCTAGGGTGAGGGATTTTAAGACTGGGGGGTATATTTTTAAGGGGAGAGGAGAAAGATTTAAAAAAGATATGAGAGGTGCTCTTTTTTTTTTACACAGGGAGAGGCTTGTGTGTGGAATGAGCTTGGGGAGGAGGTGGTAGATGTGGCTACAGTTACGATGTTTTAAAGATAAAATAAATATGTCAGTAGGAAACATCTGGAGGGATATGGGCCAAGCGCAGGCAGGCGGGACTAGTTTAGTTTAGGGTTATGGTCGCATATATTGATTAGACCGAAGTGTGTATTTCTGTGCTGTAATACTCTATGACTAAGTGAATACAACAAGTTAGTCCTCAGGGTCCAAGATGTGAAACAAAGGAAATGTTTACATTTTTATAGATTGAACAAAAGTAACCATGTGAAGATATGGGGTCAGTAAATTACACATTTCTTCCCCTTACTCTTTTCACTGCTGGAGGTCAAAATCCTGGAACCCTTTCCTACTGTACAGTGGCAGCACTATATGCCAAGTCCTGCAGTCGTACAAGGAACTGTATCACCACCACTTTCTGCAGAGCAACTCGGGATGGGCAAGAAATGCTGGCCGTACTGATGTCACTCACACCCCACGAAAGAATGAATGAATTTAAAAACTGTGCAGAGGTGGGAAAACACACAGCAAGTGAAGACTGGATGCTGCAAGTTCAATGGGTGCAATCAGTGATATGATGAACAACAGTCGGAATGAAAAATTAAAAAAAGGAAAGTGAGTGATTGAAGACAGAATGGGCCATTGAAAGCACAAGTGTGTGTTTGATTTAGTAAACAGGACTGGTCTTTTCCTGATGTTGTTAAGTCATTTAAATGTTTCTATGTTTTATCCATGAAACTACCAGTGAGCGCAACAGGTTCACTTTAAACCACCCTCCTCCTCCATCTTGGTTTAGGACAAATGGTCCCTCCTACTCCCAGAAAAGTATCATGGGATAGGGTAGGGGGTGGGTCTGAGGGCTATGCTCTTCAGAGGGGCGATGTGGACTTGATGGGCCAAATGGCCTGCTCCTACAGTTTAGGGATTCTATGATTCTACGAAACCTGTTTGCCTCTGTTGTCTACCAGTCATGGACATGGACCATGGACATGGATGGTTCATGCAGTTAAAGGAATGAGAGATTATGGAATATTGCACTTTGGTTGATGGCTGTAAGGGAGACTGCAGGGGGCAATGTATAATGGTCTTCCCTCATTCAGTCTCAAGACCACCACTGTTTCTAATACATGTTAAATGACTGGAACATAGGGGAAACATGACAATTTTGAAACCTGAAGATGAACAAAGTCAGGAGGTGGCAGTGAGAGAGCATTTTAGTGAAAGTGACCACAACACGGTGCATTTTGAAGAAAGGTTACTGGACTTGAAACGTTAACTCCGCTTTCCCTTCACAGATGCTGCCACACCTGCCGAGTTTTTCCAACAATTTGTTTTTGTTTGATTCAGATTTCCAGTATCTGCAGATCTTTGATTAATATTACCACACCTTTTAAGTTTGTTATGGAAAAGGAGAAAGATGGTCTGCAAAAACAAAAATCAAAAGATTTCGGATTGGGGAAAGACAAATTTTATTAAAATTAAGGCAGGATCTGGCCAAAGTAGAGTGGGAACAGCTACTTGTAGGTAAATCTACAGCAGAACAGCGTAAGAACTGGGGAAGAGTACAAGCCAAACATGTTTCCTTTCGGATGCAATGCAGCCGCTACAAGCCCAGAGAATCTTGGATGCCTCAGAATATTCAGGACTAGATAAGAAGGAAAAAATATAAAGGCTTATAAGCAGGGAGCAAATGAATGGAGGCCCTTGTGGAGGAAGTGGGGGGTGGAATTTAATAAAGCAATTAGGAGAGCAAAGAGGAGGCATGAGAAAACAGTGGCAGGTAAGGTGATGGAGAATCCCGAGGTATTCTACAAGTACATCAAGGGGAAGACAGTAACCAGGGAAAGAGTAGGGCCTATTAGGGACCAAGGGGACAACCTGTGTGCGGAGCTGGAGGACTTTGTTAAATAAGTACATCATATCTGCCTTCGCTGAGGAGGAGGAAGTGTAGCTACAGAACTCAGGGAGAAGGACTGTGAGGTTCTTCAGCAGATTGGCATAGGGAGCAAGGTGGTATTAGACTTTTCACTTTTAAAAAATAAATGAACACTAGGAAAAAAAAAAATCAGCGGTCCAGGAATGCAGATCGCTGTTCCTTTCTCCAGGGTAATTAGACATGGGGAAGAAATGTTGGCCTTGCAGACATCACAGGAACAAATTTTTAAAAAGATCAAATTTTAAGAGATTTTCTAACCAAGAGCCATCAAGGATTTAAATAATGCACCAAGTACTACAACTAGTTTTGTAGGTACATGTAGGACCATAAGACCATAATAGGGACAGTAGGAGGCCATTCGGCCTCTCAAACCTGCTCCACCATTCAATAGGATCATGGCTGATCTGACATTCCTGCCTTTCTCTGTAACCTTCATTCCTCTACTGATCAAGAATGTATCTATCTCGGCCTTAAATACATATATAGGACACTGTTCCAACAGCTCTCTGTAACAAGGAGTTCCAAAGACTCTCAACCCTCAGAAGAAATTCTTCCTCATCTCAGTCTTAACTTGGCACCCCTTTATTCTGACAGCAGACTCTCCCATGAGGGAGAAGATCCTCTCAGCATTGACCCTGTCAAACCCCTTAAGAATCCTATGTTTCAATTAGATCACCCCTCATTCTTCTAACTAGCAGATAGCAATAAGATAGACATTGCATCAGAGGTCGGGACTACATCACTTGACAATAAGAGAATTGCTGAGTGCAAACAAGGTAACACAAAAATTGACATTTGAACATTTTGAAAAAGTAGTGTGTTATCATGAGATAACATGGTGTAGAGCTGGATGAAATTTCTGAAGAAGGGTCCAGACCCAAAACGTCAACTTTCCTGCTCCTCTGATGCTGCCTGGCCTGCTGTGTTCATACAGCTCTACACCTTGTAATCTCAGATTCTCCAGCATCGGCAGTTCCTACTATCTCCTGGTGTATTATCATGTCTTTTTTCACTATTCCTACTCAAACACCATTGAAAATAAAGACCAAATTACTAAAAAGCTCAATGGTTCATTACAATGGATTCTCGGTCTCCTATATTCTCAAATATCTCAGCAGTTGTTGTAATGCCATTTCTTTTAGCAGCAGCTTTTAAAATCACTGTTGCCTCTTCCACTCGACCCTGGGAGAGCAGCCATCTTGGAGATTCTGGTATGAACCTGTAAAATACAAGGGGGAATACTGTAGCAGGCAGATTAGTAAAGACTATACAAATTGAGTTCAGAGAAGGCGAAAACTTGCTCAAGTGGTTTAGTGAGGAGGAAAGCAAACCTGCAGAGAAAACATTCCCTTCTCTCACTGCTCAACCGTAGCCAAATGGATATGGTATGCTGGAACTGAGAGTGTTGTGCAATAATTTTTTAAAAAGGCTCCACTGTTGAAAAAAAAAATTGAAAGGCACAAGGTGGTGCCAAAGAGAACCATCAAAATGCCATTTGTGTTGGTCAGCAGGCAGTGGAGATCAGAAGGTCAGGGTCATTGGGTTTTGGCCGAGAGATAGGTTGACATACAAAATTAAAAGGCACCGGGATACATCCACCCCCTTCGAAAATGTATTCACTGCATTTCAGCATGAAATAAATTATCATAATTTAGGGAACTCTGTGCAATTTGAATAAACGCAAGTTACAAAATAAAACAAAACTTCACTGAAATTTAAACTCACCACCAAAGAGGAATATAAAGGATTTGTGGAAGCGATAAAGCCACCAATAACATCCGCCAGTCCCGGATAAAATACGCAAAAATCGGTAGAACAACATAACCCACTGCATAAAACAGGCAGAGGCCAACGGTTCCAAAAGCTATCCTTTCAGCTTTGCCAAGAAGTTCACTTCCTATTGAAGAGATTTATTTTTTTTAAAAAGCAAACTTGCAAACCTCAGGTGTGATAAATTGTCAATTCAAATAACAAACGAATGGAACAGAATTGCAATTCAAAAGTAAAGAGAGAAAAAAGACAAAAATTAACATGGCAGGTCCAGTGATCAGCAAGATGTAATTTATAAATGTAACTAACAACAGTCTGCATGGTGACTTTCAGAGAAGAATAGATCTCCTGTTCAGTTCTGGTTTTTCAGATTCATTACCAACATCTGACCACAAGCACTTGCAACACTCAAACGCTTTCAAGAATTTCCCATCTTCAAGTGTGTCTGATACATGATAGGGAGGTAGTTAGCTAGCCTGAAACAGCATTCAGTTCTACTCACCACTGCACTCTGAAGTCCCAGAGATTCATCATCCTGTCTGCCCTTCATGTCCCCTGATCTCCATCCCTCAAACTCCCACATCACTACTCTGAGGAGCTGAATATTTCCCCACCCTCACTCCCAACCCTGATGTTCAGGTCAGCACCCTGCCCCACCCCTCCAAGCCCTAGCTTTGCATTTTCATCTCCCAATTCTCCTCTGCCCATCTTGCCCAACCCACCTCCGCTCTCACCATGCACCTTGACCCTCTAGATTCTCAACCGCACCACATACAGTGTTCCCAGTACTCCCAGTTGGGGTGGGGGGTAGTGGGGCCAGGAGGAGATCTTCTTCATACTGCTAGTTTGAGACACCACACAGGTTACTTCGATATTATGCGTCCCATTGCAGCAAATACTCCAAAATTTCAAATCAGTGTTACTTGGTCAATATCTCAAAACATGTAATCAAAGCCTCAAGTAACTAGATTCTATTTGTTGTTAATAGGAATTAAACTCATTGAAGATCTTACTATTATCACTGTCATGGCAGACTCAGGGTGTGGGTTCTTATTTAAATCAGGTTACTTTTATCCCCCCTTTCTTCTTTCATGTGGTGTGTGTATCACTGGTAAGGTCAGCATGTGTTCCCCTTTACCATATGCCCTTGAAGAAAGTGGTTTGCTGGGCCACTTCAGAAGTCATTTGTGGGCCAGACCAGTAAGAACGCCAGACTAACAAACCAAAGAGTCAGAGTCATGTAGCACAGAAACAGACTCCTTGGTCCAACTAGTCCATGCCGAACAAGTAGTTCCCCAAACTAAACAAGTCCCATTTGCTAGCATTTAGCCCAAAACCTTCAAAAACCTTTCCTATTCAGGCAAATGCCCAAATATTGTTTAAATGTTGTAACTGCACCTGCATCTACCATTTCCTCTAGCAGTTCATTCCACATATGCACCACCATCTGTGAAAAAGTTGCCCACAGGTCCCATTTAAATCTTTCTCTTCTCACTCTAAAATTATGCTCTCTAGTTGTGAACTCCCCAAGCCTAGGAAAAAAAAATAAAATTGGCTTTTGCTATGAATCAAGTGGAAGTGATGACCTATTGCTCCTGGACTACTAATCCCACCATGGCAGATGGTGATTTAATTTCAATTCAAGAAGAAACTGGAATTATGTGCCTAATGACTTAGGGAAGGGAACTATGATGCTTACCTACATGTGACTCCAGGCCCACGGTCACGTGGTTGACTCTTAACTGTCTTCTAGACAATTAGGCATGAGTAATAAATGCTGAACTGGCTACTAATACCCGTATCCCAGGACTGAAATAAATGCGCTGAAATCCAGTGAAAGAAAAAAAGAGAGAATATGCCTTTTTCCTTGACAACGAAAAAATTCAACATCCACAAGCTTTTTGGGATTCCATTAAAGTCTAATGAAAAGACAAAGCTAATATACTTTCTCAGAGGTCAGGGCACTACCACTGTGCCACATATGCCCAAGAAATAATTAACAATGCACCAACAAGGATGGCATTCAAGTTTCTGTACGCAGAGTACAACAGATTGGCAGGTCATCTTAACCACATGACCACTTTATCATACACCAAAGTGGGTATTTTGTTTTAAATCAATTGTTCAGATGTATCATGACACATACTTGGAGCAGGTAAAATTTGAACCTGGACTTTCTGAGCCAGAGGTAGGGAGATTACCGCCATGCCACAAGACTTTCTGCAAGGTTAGCATATCCTTCCTAAGATGCAGTGATTGGAGTACCACTGCTATGGTCTAACCAGGGCTCTGTGTAGCTGAAGCATGACTTGAATAGGCATTTAAAATGAGGCAGAAAGCCAGAGATTCAGGAAGAAACAGCTCCCAAGGCATAAGGCAACTGCTGAATGTTGACTGAAATTAAGAGCAGGGATGCAGTGATACAGTGCAAAGCAAAATTCAAATTAGTAAAACAGGGTGCAAGCCTTCCAAAGTTAGTCTTTGCATCACTCTAGCTGCTAGGGAGTTAACGAAAGACTGTTGTGGACTGGGTCTTGCAATTGGATGTGGGTATCTGGATTTGGGGCAGGGTAGCAGTGTTCAATAACAAATAAAAACCGAAATTACTGGAAATGCTCAGCAGGTCTGGCAGCATACGCGCAGAGAAATCAGCATTAACTCTTCCTCAGAGTTTACTTTTAAGCAGTGTTCAATAACTTGACCTCAGCAGCATGCATAGGTGAGGCCACCACATTTAGAGATCAGGATAAGAGGTGGGTTTGGTGATGTCACTGATGTGGAAGAGGGATGTTCTGGCAATAGATCGGGCCTGGACTTTAAAAATTATCCAACACACTTTTGGTTTTATTCTCAAAGTGGAAAGTAGAGGCAGCCAGAAATCCCGTTTAGTGGGAAGGAATTACATCTGGCTAACATCCAAAGCAGAAACATTTTTCCCACCAGCCGTTTTGCCTGTACAATGCACAAAAAGGAAGAAGAGGTGAATATCGAAAACGGCGAGAATGGAATAGAACATGGAAAACCGAAAGAACTGCGGATGCTGTAAATCAGGAACAAAAACAGAAGTTGCTGGAAAAGCTCAGCAGGTCTGGCAGCATCTGTGAAGAAAAAAAATCAGAGTTAACATTTCAGGTCAGTTCTGATGAAGGGTCACCTGACCTGAGACATTAACTCTGATCTTTTCTTCTCAGATGCTGCCAGACCTGTTTTTGTTCCTGAATAGAACAAGGAAACTAATTTTGAAGCATACAGCAACTTATGAAGAATCTTACCCAAAATGAACATCACTATGTACCGTGCAATTTGGGCAAGGCCAACAATGAAGAACAAGGTAGCAAACATCTCCCAGCTCTGAGAGGTCACGAGGAGAAGGCTGGAGCCAGTGTGCACAGTCATGGATACAAACAGAATGAGTTTTCGCCCGTACCTTAATGCAAGAAAACATATCCATTTTAATAATCATTCTCCCTCACACGCAGTAGCCCAATTTGTTGCTTCTTATATCCTTTTGATCCAAGATACAGGCCAGGAATCCTTTATCCAAAAACCCCAGGACCAATTCTTTTTGGATACACTTACCCGCAAGATCATTTACTAATCATCTGTCAACCAAAAGCAAAATATTCATTTAACTCCTGGACTCATTGTACCCTGGCTTGTCAGGGAATGGGTTCACATTATCTTTATCAAAATCTGTTGGCATCTGTAAGCTAATTTTTTTCATTATCTCAGCACCAATTAGTCTTTGTTCCCATTTGTTGTTACACATACCACTTAGGTTTGTTTAGATCTTTTGAAGACCGTTCAGGGCTTTTGAAGAAAAGTTTTGCCTGAAGCTTAGGCCTGAATGAATCCAGAAGTGAAGTTAATGTCCAAAGGGCCCAAACAGATCTGCAGAAGTTAAGTTCAGACCTTTGGAAATAAGCTTCATTTTCACATCCATTTGAGTCCGTTCTGGCTAAGCCAAGTTTTCTTCCTCAAAAGGCCTGAACTCAGCATGGTCTGTTCAGGTCTGCTTTCGAAAAGGCTTTCGGTTTTTAGATCTTCTTGGTTTTTGGATGTACAGATAAAAGATACCTAACCTGTATTTTATTTTATCCTTTTGTATGAAATGTCAGATGCTGGGCTATAATAGTCACATTTCAAAACTGACATCAGAATAATAACTTTCACCTTTGCTCTTCAATCACAAAAAAACTTCAGAATTTTATGAAATACACAAAAACCTTTTTAGCGCTAAAGATGCTGACAACACTTCATTGATTGCTCTTGCCTTGTTAAATTAGTGGCGATGGACACTGCTGTTGTGAGTTTTGCCCCTAGGAAGATATTTTACCTGGTGTGGGGATACGCATGAAATTTCTTGCAACATAATCAGCTTGGATATTATAACACTGAAGAATCTGACAGACTGCTATTAAAGCTTGCAAAACCCTTGTTAGGCCACCTTTGGAGTATTGTATGCAGTTTTGGTCACCACATTACCAGAAGGACGTGGAAGCTTTGGAGAGAGTGCAGAGAAGGTTCACCAGGATATCGCCTGGTCTCGAGGGCATTGGCTATGAGGAAAGGTTAAAAAGACTAGGATTGTTTTCACTGGAAAGATGGCAGCTGAGAGGAGATCTGATAGAGGTCTACAAAATTATGAGAGGCATAGATAGGGTAGATAGTTAGAGGCTTTTATCCAGGGTTGAAGTTTCAATTACAGGGGGCCACAGGTTCAAGAGCTTCCCCACCACAGACGTCAGACTGACTGGCCTATAATTCCCTGGATTATCCCTGCTTCCTTTCTTAAACAAGGGAACAACATTGGCTAATCTCCAGTCCTCTGGAACCTCACCTGTGGTCAAGGAGGATGTGAATGTATCTGCTAATGCCTCTCGCAGTAACCTGGGATAGATCCCATCTGGCCCTGAGAACTTGTCTCCCTTAATACAATTTAGGATACCCAAAACTTCCTCCTTTAATATACTGACTCTCTCTAGAGTATTCACACATTCATCCCTAACCTCAACATCAGTCATGTCTTTCTCCTTGGTGAATACCGATACAAAGTACTTATTAAGGATCTCTCCCACTTCCTGTGGCTCCATGCAAAACTTCTCTCTTTTGTCCTTGAGGGGGCCTACTCTTTCCCTTGCTACCCTCTTTCTTCTAATATATGCATCAAAAGCCTTGGGATCCTCCTTGACCCTGTTTGCTAAAGACATTTCATGGCACCTTTTAGCCTTCCTAATTCGGTGTTTAAGTTTCTTCCTAATTTCTCTATACTCAAGGGCTTTGTCAATTTGTCAGCTTGCCTGGACCTACCATATGCTTCCTTTTTCCTTTTGACTAAGTTTACAATTTCCCTTGTCATCCATGGTTCCTGGATCCTGACATTCCTATCCTTCAGTTTTCAGGGACATGCGTGTCCTGCGCTTTAATCAATTCGTCTTTAAAAGCCTCCCACATGCCAGACGTAGATATGCCCTCAAATAACTGCTCCCAATCCACATTCTCCAGTTCCTGTCTAATTTGGAAGTAACTGGCCCCTGCACAATTAAACACCCTTACCCAAGGGCCATGACTACTCGAAATCTTATGGAGTTAATGGTCACTAAGCCCAAAATGCTCTCCTACTGAAACATCAATCACCTGTCCTGGCTCATTCCCTAATACCAAGTCTAGTAATGGCCTCTTCTCTGGTTGGATTGTTGATATTTTGTCTCAAAGAGCTCTCCTGGACACTCTAACAAATAGCTCTCCATCCGAGCCCCTGGCTCTAAGGGAGTCCCAGTCAATAAGAGGAAAGTTGAAGTCATCCACCAGAACTACCCTGCTTTTTTCACACCCATCTAGTATCTGAGAACATATCTTCTCCTCTGGCTCACATGGGCTGTTGGGAGGTCTATAGAAAACTCCCAGCATTGTGATTTCATACTTCCTATTCCTGAGCTCCACCCATAATGCCTCACTGCAAGATCCCTCCAATGTGTCCTCCCTCAACACTGCTGACATGTGATTCCTAATCAGCAATGCAACTCTCCCCACCCCTTTTGTTTCCCTTTCTGTCCTGTCTAAAACAGCGATATCCAGGAATGTTAAGCTGCCAGTCCTGCCCCTCCTTTAACCATGTCTCCGTAACTGCAATATTACCATAATTCCATGTAGTAATCCATGTTCTTCGTTCATCTTCCTTATCTGTTATACTTCTGGCATTGAAGTAAATGCACTCCAGACCTCCAGTCCCTCTGAGCCCCGCGACTTCCCTCTGCCTGCTCTTACTCTGCGCTATGCGTATCTCAGTCTCTCTTTTGTGCCCAGTCCCTGCACTTACTGGCCTATTGTTCTGGTTCCCACCCCCCTGCCACACTAGTTTAAACTCTCCCGAAGAGCTCTAGCAAACCTCCTGCCCAGACTATTGGTGCCCTTCCAGTTCAGGTGCAACCCGTCCTTCTTGTACAGGTCCCACCTTCCCCAGAATTACTAAGCTATATAAAGCAGCATGTCACACTTTAAACGAACTGCCCCAAGGCAAGATGGTGTAGGTGATCTTTATATCCGCAGGTCACATGCTATGAAACGGTGATGTTATCACAAGCATGTCTCTCAAAGGTATACTGACCATGAGACATAACATAATTGCCATTGAACTTCTCCAGTCCTTGTGTTGGTGCCCCTCCAACAAAGGCAAATATAGAATATCACTGGGTCAAAACCCTGAAAATGAAAAAGTGGTATATTCCCAAGTGAGTTCCAAAGTTGCACACAACTGTTCAGAGATTAAGCCCTGTCCGTCTAAGCAAAACCTGCATTCAAACACAGTCTAGTTTGGGGAAAAACAAACACTTGCAGTATTTAAACAGTCATGTCAAGCACGAGGTCACACAAAAGCCGTTGCTGAAACATGAGGATATCTCCAGATCTGTGGAGCCTGTGCACCATCAGAAGGTAAGTGGCAGTTATTAGTGGGAAGCACCTAGGATCCCATCCACCAATTCAACTACACTCCCTCCACTGACTGGCACCTTCTGCCAAATGTACTGCAGCAACTCACCACGCGTCCACCAACAGCACCTTCCAAACATGCGACCTCTATCACCCGGAAAGGACAATATCTAACAGATGCATGAGACTAGAACCACAAAGTCACTCTCCAAGGGAAACACTATCCTGACTTGCCATTCCAACTCTTGTCGCTGGGTGACAATCCAGGGACTCCTTCGCCAACAGAATTGCAGAATACGTACAATGTAGCTTGTAAAGATGGCTCACCACCACCTTAAAACGTAAATTGTGCATGAAACACAAATCCTGACCCTTCCAGTGGCTCCCACATCCCAAGAATCAGGATATGAAAAATATCTTTTTCTAGCTGCTGAAAGAAATTACCAAAACTAATTAATTACTTAGTGACTAAAATTAAGAATTGTACCTGTCTGAAATTTGTCCAGAGATGAATGATCCACACAGCATGCCCAAGAAAAATACTGATGCTGTGAATGGTCCTTTCCACTTATCATCACAAACAAGATTCCACTGAAAAAACAATGGAAAGTCATTAAAAACACTAAACAAAAAATAACCCAAAGAACTACAGATGCTGGAAACCAGAAACAAAAACAGAAATTGCCATAAATGTATTCTGAAGAAGGGTCACTGACCCAAAATGTTAACACTGCTTTCTCATCACAAATGCTGCCAGACCTGTTGAGTTTTCCCAGCAATTTGTCTTTTTAGTCATTAAAAGCACAATTAACCTGCATTTCTGGCACACTATTGGTTTGTTAAAAACCTGGGACTGGAAAGAATATAATGGCATTGTAACGTGTAAGAGAACAGTTTGTTTCTCGTTGCAATGGAGGCATTAATTAGTTTGCTTTTAGTCTTTAAGCTTCTAGGGGAGACAGTTCTGTTGTAATAAGGACATTAGCGTGATTGGGCTTCCTAGGTGTCTTTCAAAAGTGTGAATTAGCCAGGTGCAGAATAGACCCCAAGTGTTTTATTCTTGTACGACAACAGTGAAAACACTTCAAAAACAAAAAAAAAGTCCCAAATCATCAGCCATGTGAAATCAGCAGGTCATAAAAAACCCTATAGAAATCCAGAGATAATAGGAACTGCAGATGCTGGAGAATCCGAGACAACAAGGTGCAGGGCTGGACGAACACAGCAGGCCAAGCAGCATCACAGGAGCAGAGAGGCTGACGTTTCGGGCCTAGACCCTTCATCAGAAAAGGGGGAGGGGAAGGGGGTTCCGAAATAAATAGGGAGAGAGTGGGAGGCGGATAGAAGAGGGATAGAGGAGAGGAAACAAACAGGTCGAAGAGGCGGGGATGGAGCCAGTAAAGGTGAGTGTAGGTAGGGAGTTAGGAAGGGGATAGGTCAGTCCAGGGAGGACGGACAGGTCAAGGGGGCGGGATGAGGTTAGTAGGTAGGAGATGGGGGTGCTGCTTGAGGTGCGAGGAGGGGATAGGTGGGAGGAAGAACAGGTTAGGGAGGCAGGGACTGGTTTTGGGATGCGGTAGGGGGAGGGGAGATTTTGAAACTTGTGAAATCCACATTGATACCATTGGGCTGCAGGGTTCCCAAGCGGAATATGAGTTGCTGTTCCTGCAACCTTCGGGTGGCATCGTTGTGGCACTGCAGGAGGCCCAGGATGGACATGTCGTCTGAGGAATGGGAGGGGGAGTTGAAATGGTTCGCGACTGGGAGGTGCAGTTGTTTATTGCGAACCGAGCGTAGGTGTTCTGCAAAGCGGTCGCCGAGCCTCCGCTTGGTTTCCCCGATGTAGAGGAAGCCACAGCGGATGCAGTATACCACATTGCAGGTGAACATCTGCTTGATGTGGAAAGTCTTCTTGGGGCCTGGGATGGGGGTGAGGGAGGAGGTATGGGAGCAGGTGTAGCACTTCCTGCGGTTGCAGGGAAAAGTGCCGGGTGTGGTGGAGCTGGAGGGGAGTGTGGAGCGGACAAGGGAGTCACGGAGAGAGTTGTCCCTCCGGAAAGCAGATAAGGGCCACAACGATGCCACCCGAAGGTTGCAGGAACAGCAACTCATATTCCGCTTGGGAACCCTGCAGCCCAATGGTATCAATGTGGATTTCACAAGTTTCAAAATCTCCCCTCCCCCCACCGCATCCCAAAACCAGTCCAACTCGTCCCTGCCTCCCTAACCTGTTCTTCCTCCCACCTATCCCCTCCTCCCACCTCAAGCCGCACCTCCATCTCCTACTGACCAACCTCATCCCGCCCCCTTGACCTGTCCGTCCTCCCTGGACTGACCTATCCCCTTCCTAACTCCCTACCTGCACTCACCTTTACTGGCTCCATCCCCGCCTCTTCGACCTGTTTGTTTCCTCTCCACCTATCCTCTCCTCTATCCCTCTTCTATCCGCCTCCCACTCTCTCCCTATTTATTTCGGAACCCCCTTCCCCTCCCCCTTTTCTGATGAAGGGTCTCGGCCCGAAACGTCAGCCTCTCTGCTCCTGTGATGCTGCTTGGCCTGCTGTGTTTGTCCAGCCCTGCACCTTGTTGTCTACAGAAATCCATGTTTTATTGGGAATGAAACTATAGCTCAGGACACACACATCTGATTCTCTGTGGTTTGATCAATAAGACATGGATTTGACAGAGTACACAATTGTACTTTCCAACAAGATTAAAGAAAAGGAGCAGGTCATTTGGGGGAAGCCAGTTTTAGCACTCTATTCGGTATGATGGAAATTGCAGTTACTGACAGCACATCACAGAGACCATTTGTTCATGTTATAGATGTGGTTAATCTTGATCTACAAATCCAATTGTAAATTTTTACTTGTAAGACTCGGGGTGGGGCAACGGCTTTTTGGCACGATTGCTCATTCTGTACAGACTTAACAGACCTTCCATCAACAAGATTGTTTAAGGATACAGACTTCTCCATTTAGCTCTGTTATCTCTCATACTAACATATATGAACCATCTGTATCCAACCCAGTGAAGTGGAATTCTGACCAACATGCTCATGGTGCTTTGCAAGATGTTCAGCTGCTGCAGCAAGATCTTATGCAGCAAAACATGCTTTGCTTTTAGTTGCTTTGTGCAATGCCTATACGTTGCCCACGGCCAAAGTGAAAACGTACACAAACCAGTGCCCGATAGACTTTGAGTTATGTCGACGCGAATATCAGCGCATTCTCCAGCACCTGTGGCTGACCCTGGGGAACACAGCTTGCTTTCACTAGCTGACATCAACATCCAACATGGTATTGTTGGAGACAATACTCCAAAAGAAAGCAAAAATTTGAAATGTGATATTGTCAGATGGGGGGCTAGTTAGCTCAGTTGGTTGGATGGTTGATAAAAACCAAAAGAACTGCGGATGCTGTAAATCAGGAACAAAAACAAAGTTGCTGGAAAAGATCAGCAGGTCTGGCAGCATCTGTGGAGGAGAAAACAGAGTTAACGTTTCGGGTCTAGTAACGTTTCGGGTTCGGGCTCTGAGGAAGGGTCACCTTCTTTTTATAAGAAAGCTGCAATTAGCGCCAAATAGCTAGAAATAAAGTACAGTAGCACTACATCACTGCCAAGTGACAGGCTGACTGTCACAAAAATGGCAGCGCCCATACATTGTTGAAAAGTCAGGTAGAGTATCTGTGGATTGGAAGGCAGGATGATAGAATTTGATATTTTGAAAATGATCGGGGTGGGGGGGGCAGCAAGGGAAAGAGTGCGTGATCCCCTTAAAAGATGATGTGTTTTTTCTAGGCTTGGAGATTGTTTTTTTTTAAATGTGCAGGTGCACAGAGAGCTCCTGAAATTGAAACATTTATATCAAAAGGCTGTATGGTTAGCAACACAGGCGGTAGTTTGTTTTGTTATTAAGGCAACCTGTTTGAAAATCGACCAATTAATTTAAACCAGGCACTTAAGAGACTAAATAAACAATTAAATTTAAATCTGATGGTTTTGACAACATTGGACCAATCCTTTGTAAGAAATTAACAGTAGGTAATCAAGGGTATAAAACAAGAGGTTATTTGAAAATCAGTGTGAGAGCAACTGCCACCTGTTAGAGTTAACAACCAGCAGCCCTAAAGAGAAAATCACTGGCTCTTTCAGAATTCTCTAAGCTCTCAGAAAACTATCTAAACTAAAGGTACACTGGCACTCTTAGCTAATATTACTGACACAAGAATTCAATGGAGAAAGGCATTCCTGACTGAAGATCAGCGGAGAGGGTGTGGAGCATTCCGGAGGACATATCCTGGCTATAATTTCGAGAGATTAAGTTTTAATTTTTTTTTTATAATTTTGGTTTATATAAGTAGGACTTGTATTTATTAGAACGGCACACCATTAGAATTTTGTTTTATTCCACAATAGCTAGTAGTTAAGGGGGTTTGGTTTGGTTGGTTAGTAGTCCTGTTAATATGTTCACTGTTAGAGTTAGATAAATAAATTACTACTTGTTGATTACAGAGTGATTGAAAGGATTTCATTTCAATTAACAACTCCTTTATAACTGATTGGGAGTGAGAGGCACCCCAAAAGTTATACCACTTTTCAAACTTCTTTTAACAGATTATAGGGAGAAGCGAGTTTTTCTGGGTTTTAGTTATCAGAAGGGGAGGGTCGACCTCCACTTCATAACAATATTCACAAATTCCTGAGCCCCCCCCCAGCAATATAAGAATGGTGTGACAGCTGACTATCGGCGCATGCACAGCTCTGGCTACCATCTTCAGTGTTGGAAACACACTGTCCGAGACAGAGAGTGGTGGAAAGTAAGAATACAAGAGAAAACCAATGAGAAATATATTAAATGTTTCTACATGTAAATCTTTTCTGCACCCTTTCAAATTTAATACCATCTTTCCTATAGCGAGGAGACCAAAATTGAACACAGCATTCCGAAACCAATTTCCTATACAGCCACAACACGACCTCCCGACTCCTGTATTCAATGCACTGACCAATAACGGCAAGTAAACCAAACTCATTCTCCACTATCCTGTTGACTCCACTTTCAAAGAACTATGAACCTGAACTCCAAGGTCACTTTGTTTGGCAATACTCGCCAGGACCTTACCATTAAGTGTATAAGTTTTGCCCTGATTTTCCCTCCCAAAATGTGGCACCTCACAGTTACCTGGATTAAACTCCATTTGCCACTCCTCGGTCCATCTGATCAAGGTCCCATTGTATTCTGAGGAAACCTTCTTCACTGTCCAGTACACCACCAATTTTAGTGTCACCTGCAAATTTACTAACCATACCTCCTATATTCACATCCAGATGTTGAGATTGGGGAATTAAACAATGGCAGCTGGAGCTGAAGGTTACAATCTGATCAGCCACGCTATTTAAAATGGCTCGAGAAGCCAAATGCCCTACTTCCATACATGGGAAAACACTAGGAACAGCAATGGGCTATTAAACTTGGAACTGATGGCCTGCATCCTAGGGTCTTAAAAGAAGTGGCTGCAGAAATAGCAGATGTGTCCCTTTTTAATTTCCCAAATTAATGCATTAGATTTTGGATTGGCAAACTGGAA